TCTATTGCACACAATTGTATATATTACCATTTGTACTACCTTCTTACTTAAGTATATCACCTTGAAGCAAGTGTTAGGGTTTACTTTGAACCTTTTTTCCTAACTAAACTGCAAATACAAGGTCAAGAAACCCCTGATAAACCTTTACATTTTTTTAAGTATTTACCTTTTCTACAAACTGCACCCAAGGTAAGTATTTTAGTTCTTAGCTTCTATATTTAAAAAATGAAATTGACACTCAGGATCAGTCTTACATTGTGTAGCATGATGGTATGTGAATCTGATGTATCTGTTTCATATTGAATATGAAATATTTACAAAGCTACATCCTCATCTTATGGGGGATTTCATTTTCCTTATATAAATCCTGTCAGTGAAAAGGAGTTGCAAAAAACAGAAGCCCTTATAAGAAACAATGTCTGTGTAATATGAAAGCCATCTTATGAGTGAAGTGGGGGGGAGCATAACTCAGGGCTTCTGAAGATGTGTGTGTGTGTGTGTGTGTGTGTGTGTGTGTGTGTGTGGTCCATCTTAAATGGAACAAGCCTGTGTTCCCCAGATGTTCACTTTGTCTTGCCTTTGACAGGTTTACAATACTGTATTTAGTTCTTTTTTCTATTGTAAAATAAAGGTGCCATTTCATCACTCCGTTGTGTTGTGTAGAACTCTTTAAAAGCACAGAATGTCAGAGAAGTCACTGAAGACCTTCAGCAAGCCATGCTCTGAAAGGAATAACTTATCTCTTCCAGAACTCCAGAGGCCAATTCACTATTTACACAGTGTTTTTCCCAGTGAACATTCTAGGGTTATCTAATGCACAGCCTGTGACTATCCAGTCCCAAAAGTTTTTTTTGTTTTTTTTGTGACTCCTCAATTTGTCATTTAAAAAATGCTGCAACAGCTTCAGTGGGTTATATGCTGTGTTGCCAAGAACACTCCAAAAAAAGTCTGTTTTTGTTAAAGTGCTGAATGCTCCTATATGTCCCATGCTGTGATGTCAAGTTTTTTTCTGTGGCCCTCCAAGGCCCCCACCCTAACTTGTCTATTAAATTGTTTCTTTCTGAATACTCTCATGTGCTTGCTCTGTTTTGATGCCAAAATTACATTTATTGACCACTCCTGTGTCCCCTGCAATGATTCTGATACTACAACTTTTTAATGACTACCCCTTCTTCTTCTTCCTCCTTCTTTGGTGATCACTCGTAGCCGAGTAACATTGTCCTCCAAGAGCATGGTCTTAACAGTGAATCCAAAAGTGACTCTGGAGGCCAATTCTAGATCCACACGTCTTTCCACAGTGGGGATATAGGTTTCCAGGCAGGAGTTGAGGGTTTGCCAAACGTGCCTTCCTCTTAGCTCGTTTCTCCTTTTTGCCCTGAGTTCATGCTTCTTCAAAGTCTATGACACGTTTGGTAAAGGCTGTTCTCCAATTGGAGCACTTGCAGGCCAGTGTTTCCCAGGTATCAGTGCTTATGTTACATTTTTTTAGATGTGCCTTGACCGGTGGACAACAAAAGAAGTTTAAAGACACTCTCGTCTTTAAACTTCTTTTGTTGTCCACCGGTATTTCGCTTTCCATTCTTGAGTTGGGAATAGAGTACCGTATTTTTTGCTCTATAAAAGGTACGGGCCAGTCTTGACAGACTCTAGGGTTGTGCACTCATCTCACTCTATAGGCCGGGAGCCAGCGCTGTCTGCAGACACTTCCGGGTCACGTAGCCAGCGTGACAAGCTGCATCTGGCGAGCCAGCGCAGCACACGGAACGCCGTTTACCTTCCCGCTGGTAAGCGGTCCCTATTTATCTACTTGCACCCGGAGGTGCTTTCGAACTGCTAGGTTGGCAGGCGCTGGGACCGAACGACGGGAGCGCACCCCGCCGCGGGGATTCAAACCGCCGACCATGCGATCGGCAAGTCCTAGGCACTGAGGTTTTACCCACAGCGCCACCCGCGTCCCTCTTTTTTTTTTTTTTTTTGCTCTATAGGACGCACTTTTCCCCCTCCAAAAATTAAGGGGAAAGCCCTGCAGAGGCTAGAAAGGATGTTCCCAAGCCAGAACAGCGAGACGGAGGGCTCCGTCTTGCTCTTCTAGCTTGAGGATGGCTGCGCAAAGCTATCCCTGAAGCCTTTGGAGCAAAGCGGGACCTCGCGCTGCGCTCCAATGGCTTCAGGGATCTTTGAGGCTGGCGGTTGGGGAAAGCAGCGCTCCCCCCCCCCAGCCCCAAAGAGCAGGTCGAAAGGAACCTGAAGCCTCCGGAGCCCAGCAGGAACTCCCCCCCCCCCGCGCTCCAGAGGCTTCGGGTTTCCTTCACTGAAGCCTGGAGAGCGAGAGGGGTCAGTGCGCACTGACCCCTCTCGCTCTCCAGGCTTCCAAGGTAGCCGGCTGAAGCCTCCAGAGCTTCAGAGGCTTTGGGTGAATGCACCTTGAACCTTGTTGTAGAGGGGAAGAACAAGAAAAAAAATTCCCCTGTTTTCCCCCTCCTATGGTCCGGTGCGTCCTATAGAGCCAAAAATACGGTAGTTGCTTTGGAAGACAGTAATCAGGCAGCTGCACAACATGACCAGTCCAACAAAGTTGATGTTGAAGAATCATTGCTTCAACACTGGTGATATTTGCTTCTTCCAGTACACTGCCATTAGTTCACCTGTCTTCCCAAGTGATGTGTTAATTTTTCGGAGACACCGTTGATGGAATCTTTCGAGGAGTTGGCGTTTCTAAGTGGTTCATGTTTCACAAGCGTACAGTAAAGTTGGTAGCACATTAGCTTTGTATGACTATCCCAATCCCCTCATGAGTGTATCATTTAAAAACAATGAATTCCTATGTTCCAACCATACAAGTGTTTATATGCCACTCCCAATCCATGCCGAATGGTAGCAAAATTCCAGAGGGTTCCAGGTGCTCATCCAGGGTTGTGATCCATGCTGTCAGTGTATGTTAGGTATGAATGAGGAAAAAAGAAAGTACCGTATTTTTCGCTCTATAACACGCAGATTTTTTCTCCTAAAAAGGAAGGGGAAATGTCTGTGCGTGTTATAGAGCGAATGTGTGGTCCCTGGAGCCAAAAAATCAAGCAAAAGTCAAACCGCGAGTCACGGAGAAGGGAAACCTGAAAAGAGGAAGTGGCAGCTTTCCTGCATTCTGCCTCAGGGTCTTACTGCCCACCCTTCTCTGTTTCGTTGCTGTGATTGCTGAAACGGAACAAAGAGCAGGGAAAGCCCCTCCCCTCCAGGCAAGCAGAGTGTCGCTCTTTCTAATTCCTCTCTGTGCTCCGGTGCTGCTGGGGGAGAGGGAGAGAGAGTGGGGGAGGGAGAGGGGGGAGGGAGAGGGAGAGAGAGGGGGGGAGGGAGAGAGAGGGGGGAGGGAGAGAGGGGGGGAGGGAGGGAGGGAGGGAGAGAGAGAGAGAGATGGCTGGCTTGGGGGGGAACTTTTGCCTTTCTTTCCTCCCACCCCAAATCCCTCTCCAGCATTCTTAGCCAGCTGCTTCTCTGCACACCCCTCTCATGTCCCTTCTTTGTTTTTCCTTCGCTCCCCACTTAAAATGTGGTTACAAAGCATAGATCCTCAGGATCTTTGCATTGGGTCACCCCAAATTCACCATCAGATCACATAGCATGTCCATGGCTACAGCCTGCACCAAAAAAAGCACGCACCCACTGTTGCCTGGGGCTGCAATGGTGCAAAAACGTGGTTACAAAGCATGGATCCACAGGAATTCTCAGGATTTTTGCATTGGGTCACCCCAAATTCACCATCAGATCACATGTCTGTGGCCACAGCATGAAGCACAAAAATGATACATCCACTGCTTCATTCAGAATGTTTTTTCCCTTGTTTTCCTCCTCTAAAAACGATGTGCGTGTTATGGTCGGGTGCGTGTTATAGAGCGAAAAATACGGTAAGTCCTGAGATGCAGGGTAGATACCCCCTTTCAACTTTCCCTGTTCCACAACGTTTAGTTCCAGTAAAAATAATAATAATAGTATGCTGAGGAACATAGTGTGATGATTCTGGCTGCTGTTTTAAATACAGTGCAATATGAGCACCATCTAGTGGAGACAGTGAATCTCTGTTTAAACAAACTCCCATATCCAGTTCCTACCTTTTTGTCCTTGATATACTGTACCATTCTTCCTATTCAAGGAACCCACCACAAAGGATATACTATTTTCTCGATGCATGATATTGGAGTTTACACTTGTCAGAAATGACTGGGGCATAAAAGACCCACCCCCCCAAAAAAACCAACAACCCAAAATAGGGGCCCATTAGATTCATGTTTTGCTTAAAATGGAACAAAACAGGTTATGACTACACATCCTGTGTTCTAACACTGAGCAGCTTTCCTCATCCTGGTGCCCTCCAGTTTGCTGAGGTTGATGTGACTTGTAGTCCAAGACATCTGGAGAGCACCAGGTTGGGGAAGGCTGCCCTAGACCAAAGCAACTTCATCAATGCATCAAAGCAAAGGGATTCTCAGTTGGTGCTGCAGTGCTCCAGTTATCAGATTCACCTGCCGTCCCTTGATTTGGCAAAATACAAGCCCAAGTCAAAATTTTGAAAATACAGTGGTACCTCAGGTTATATACGCTTCAGGTTACAGTCTTCGCTAACCCAGAGAACAGAAATCGTGTGGCGGCAGCGGGAGGCCCCATTAGCTAAAGTGGTGTTTCAGGTTAAGAACAGTTTCAGGTTAAGAACGGACCTCCGGAACGAATTAAGTATTTAACCTGAGGTACCACTGTAGTATAAGGCAGTGTTATCTGATAACTTTCTATTTACCTTTTGAAAAGGCTTTCCTATTCAATTCTGATATCAGTCCCCACCCAAACCTATATTGACCAAACTATTCTTTTGATCTTTGCACTATTATATCAACTGTTTGCCCCAGCAACGTTTCTCACTAAAGTTTCTATGCCTTAAAAGTCTACATGGCACAGAAATGGCCAACTGGACATTCCCCACAACAAGGCTGTGAAAGGGAAACATTGGGACTTACTATACATTCATTTTCTTTAGGGGATGAAGGGTATCCTTATATATATGGGATCCAATGCCATCCACCTGAGCGTTCTCAAATAACTCAAATGTGAAATTGTTGATCTTCTAAAAGGTGAGAAGGTTGAGGGTCTTCTAAACACTTATAAAACATCCTGCCAATCCAACTGCAAATACAGGTCAGTACACTGTTATCTCCCTATTGCTGGGGCCTGAATGTGGAGACTTGTGAGGGAATGGCTAGTCACGAACAAAATCTGATTAATACTGCAGATTAATTGCTGAGACCAAAAGAGGAATTTACAACAATCCTGCAAAGTAGTACAGTGTTGAAGTCCCTCCGACTCCCTGGTGGTAGAATGGCAACGCTGGGTGAAGAGCTTGCAAAGCTGATCATAGCAGAAGCCTCGGTGGACGGAATGAGTAGCTGTCTCCATTGGAGGCAAGTTGTGTAATCAAAGCCATCGCCCTAATCCTGTTTTCCTCTTTCTTCCCTGACCCCAAAGCAGTTTTATGAGGGCATATTCCAGTCCACGGGGATCTTTCAGTCTTACTACTACCAATGTGTCAGCCTCCTTTCACAAGTTTCCGTTAAGGAAAGAGTGGTTTGATCTCTTTTTTTAATTGTTGCGAAGGAGTAATTTTAGCCTTAGGCCAGGTATTTGGCGATGCTGGCTGGGGCTGATAGGAGTTGCAACATTTGTAGGACAGCAAGTTTGCCAAGTTGGTGACTCCCAGCTCCTCCTCACTGCTTCTTATTTTCTGATCATTACTGGTTTGCCTTTCCAGCACCCCAGGTTGCAGCAAATTACTGTAGTCAATTGCATTGCAGATGCTCTTGTGTCAACTTGATGCAGATACTTCTCGCCTTCACTTCCGAGAAGCCCAAAACGAGCATTAAAAGTCAAAACGGAAATCGCCAGCGCGTGTGAGTCTACACTTTTTTAATAGATCTACGACTCCACCTAGTTTCCCCTTTCGCGCCTTTTTCTCTCCCCTACGTTCCTTCAGGCCTCTGCGTCCCAGCAACCGTTACACTGTCACTTTTAAAACAGCACTCTGCTTTTCTTCTGGCCTTGCGGGTAAAGTGATTGGCTAGTCAAAGCAGGCCGCGATTGGTCAAGCGACGGAGCAGGGTGGGGCCGATTCGTATTTCCTTTTCTTCAATCCGTCTCCTGTTGGCGGCGGGCTTTAAGCTTTCCAGCCAGGCCTCTACCGTTGCACGCGCGCGTTTCCGCGAGGACCCTTCCGAGCTGTCCAAGCCGTCCGCCTGAGTCTAAAAGAACCAGGGAGGCAGGAAGGCAGCGATTCTGCTTGCACCAGAAGCGGGGCCGAGCCTCAAACCATCTAGGGAGGCAGTTTGCCGAACTTTTCACCACCTCAGCGGGCGGCGACCGCTGCTATTACCAAACCGGCATCCGTTCCGGGCAACCCCTGAGTCTCCCGGCGCGAGAAACGCGATGGGGGAACGAGGGGTCCTGGCGGTGTGCAAAACGCGCCAAGTTTCCCGTCGTGGGCGGGTGGGTGTGTGACTGAGCTTGGAGGGACCCCAGATCCCCTCAGTCTATAGAGCAGCTGGGGAAGGGGCTATTCCGGGGCAGCGCCCTCCCGCGCCTCGCCCACGGGGACCTGGCCAGGACGAGAAGATGTAGCGGCGGCGGGTGAGGAGATGCGGCGGCCGCGCCACCATGAGCGAGCGGGCGGGGGCGCGCGTTTCTTTCCTGGCGACGGGTGGGCACCTCTGCCTGCCTTTACCGCCGCCTCGTTCCCCGGGGGGGGGGGGTTCCGAGGGAACGACTGCGGGCCGCCGCTGGTTCTCTGGCGCTTCGAGCCCCAGCCCTGCCTGCCTGCCTGAGGGGAGCTTCAAGGAATATTTCGCTCTCCTTTTCACCCTTGAGGCGGAAATTAGTTGTGAAGTGGAAGGCGCGCTACGGAACTCTCCGCTGCGGTTTTTTTTTTTTTAAATTTGGTCTGTCACGGGCGGAGCCAGGCTTCGTGTGGAAAGGGGGGGATGCGGAACCTCAGTTAAGTATTTTTATTGATGGGGGACAGCTGCCCTCCCCCCCTTTCCCTTGGTTCCGCCCGTGGTGTCTGCGCAGGGGAAGCGTGCCTGCCTGCTTCCCACCTACGAAAGGTTTTCTCGGCTTTCGGTTTTCATCCTTGTCGCAGCAAAGGAAAGTAACGGGCCGAGAGTAATTTTTGGGGTGGTCGTTTCTCGAGCTGCCCTCAAATCTTAGGGCGGGGTTGTGTACCGGAAAAGTAACGACATCCCGACGTTCTTAAGTCTTAACCTGGGGCGATTTGGGGCTTCAGTCTCCAGTAAATAGGATTTCCGCCCTGACCGGTAGCGTCAGATTCCTGCACTGTTTCGCTTCTCCTTAACAACCCCAAAAAAGTTCAGAAGCCGCCGGCTTTTAATGTCTAGGTCAAAGGGAACTTTGTATTAAGCGGTCGCATTTTTGAGTTACATCGCTAGCTAATAAGAGCGCAGTTGTGTTTCCCGGCCCACTTCGGCGTGTGCTCCGGTTGCTCTTGTGAAGCTGTGTCGTCACAATACACGCTGCCCCTTACAAAACATACAAACGTGGTGTTTTATATGCTTTTGACAGGCATAACTACAGGTTGCAGTTTTGTCGTGTTCGTCCCTCGGCGTTCTCTGGTGAGGGGGGAAAATGCCAGGCGTGCTGCCCAGTGACAGTAGCGGGCTTTCAAGAGGCACCCCCACGAAAAGAAGCAGACTTTCACTGAAGTTCTTTCAGAAAAGGGAAACAAAAAGAGCTCTGGATTTTGCAGAATCGGCAGAAAATGAGCAAAAGACTTCAGAATATGAATGTTCTGAAATGTATGTAAGCGTTTATTTTTCAGTAACTCATCACAATGTGCAGAGAACTTTTAAAGGCATTTTGGTGGATCTTCATTTCTATATGTTACAGTGTATGCTTAAAGTTCTGTATCAGTTAAGCACAGCCAGTAATATTTTGCATAATTACTGTAACTACACATATTTGCATTGGCTTATGTATATCCCAGCCTTCAGTTGGCTTTTAATGTTTTCTAACACAAAACTGTAATGGTAGGCTGTTAACATAATGGATTATGACTGAAATCAGTTTGATTACTGGTATTCTATCTTGGTGACAATTTGTTTTGTATATAGGTAGCATTACGTACATTCTATGCTAATTGAGGGTAGAACAGGCATAATACAACCCAAGTTTAAGTTTTCAAAACTCCATTGAGCCCAGTGGAAGAGATTTAGGAATGTACTAGACCTTGAACTTTTTTCTGTCAAAGGGCTTAGCAGAGTTGGATAGAGAGCAGAGTTGGATACATAGCCTGCTTTGGGTGGAATAACAAAAAGTGAACTGTTTGTTTAAAACATTAAATTTGGTAGAAAGGTTTTAAAGGATACAGGCCTAAGAATATGTAATGGGAAGTAAGAACTACTGTATTCTGTGTGATTAACTTCTACACACAAGATTGTGCTGCACACCTTCATTCTTGATTGCAGGTTTCTTACACTTTAGCAGGTTGTTTCCATATGAGAAAATACTTTATTTTTTAAAAAAAATAGATCAAGGTGTCAAAATGGAAAACTAATTCAATAGGCTGCACTAGGAATAAACTTTAAATCCTGGTCTAATTATGACCATACAGTATATTGTTGGCCTAATACTTCTGTGAAAACGGGAGCTTGTGTGGGATAATAATACTTTAGCCACTGAAAAATTCCTGGCCAGAAAGAAATCTGTTATGTTGTCAAGGAAAACACAAGAGTTATCAATACAATTTTTGTACTTATAATTTTTGTACTTTAATTATCTTATTGTACAGTTAGAGGCGGCTAATTCATTATTTTTGGAGTGTGATTTTTATGTGGTACCTCAATAGTGGTACTCACCCTGTCGTGGGGATTCAAACCGTCAACCTATTGATCAGCAAGCCCAGTGGTATAGACCACAGTGCCACCTGCGTCCCTTGCTCTGTCCCAGCTCCTGCCAACTTAGCAGTTCGAAATCACACCAGTGCGAGTAGATAAATAGGTACCTCTGCGGCAGGAAGGTAAACGACTTTTCCGTGCGTTTTGGTTTCCGTGTTCTGTTGTGCCAGAAGCATTTTAGTCATGCTGGCCACATGACCCAGAAAGCTGTCTGTGGACAAACGCCGGCTCCCTCGGACTGAAAGCGAGATGAGCGCCACAACCCCATAGTTGCCTTTAACTTGACTTAACTGTCATGGGGTTCTTTACCTTTTACCTTACTACATATAGCAGGGATTAAGAAACAGTATTTTAGTAAAAAGTCAATTTCTAAATTTAGAAGACATCTTGCACATGTGTATTTTGGAATAAAATATCTTTTTTTGTATGACAGTGACCAGGTAGTTCCTGCAACACAGCCACTTTCACCGTCCCCTATCTGCTGTGAGAAGAAAGACAACATGCTACCTTTTGTGGGCTTGAACAATCTTGGTAACACGTGTTATCTTAACAGTATACTTCAGGTAAGTTCATAACAGGTTAAAAATATAGTGTTGTCTAAAGTAATTTTGTGTGAATTAAGGGAATTAAAAGCTTACTTGGTAGGTATTTACGTGTGCTGCATGAAGGAAGCAAGAGGAAAGAGGCTGTAGAGCAAGATTTTCACCTTTTCTCTTATTGGAGACCCATTGCACAATATTAAAATTTATTTCATTCCATATATATTCCATCTTTTGTCATGGCACCCACGGCAGCATACTGGTGGTTCCCAGGAGGTCTCCCGTGCAGGCACTGACCAGGTTTCAGCACATACTCATAAGTTGGGCAATTTGCTTTTTGTTATAATCATCCTTTTCCATCTTATGTCCTAATGAACATAAGTTGTGTAACAAATACATTGCACAAACACTGAAGGTATGTGGCAGGCTCTAGGATATTGTTTTCTTAGTATGGTTTGCAAAATATTAAAATGAGGTGTACTGTGGCACCTCGGGTTAAGTACTTAATTCGTTCCGGAGGTCCGTACTTAACCTGAGACTGTTCTTAACCTGAAGCACCACTTTAGCTAATGGGGCCTCCTGCTGCTGCCGTACCGCCAGAGACCGATTTTTGTTCTCATCCTGAAGCAAAGTTCTTAACCTGAAGCACTATTTCTGGGTTAGCGGAGTCTGTAACCTGAAGCGTATGTAACCTGTGGTACCACTGTATTTGAAGAGGCTGTACTATGAGTATAATCCATCAAAAGTCAAGCCTTTGTCTTTTAACTTAACATTTTCAGTGGAAGTGCTTTAAAAATACTTGCTTTACCTAGCTCAAAGGGAAAACAAGGAAAACTAAACATGAAAACAACAGTCAAACCATAGTACTGATAAAACCTGCAGTAGCTTGACCCACTATGCCTCCTTTGTCCAAACGTCTGCTAGATCAAAACAGTTTCACCTGCCTATTGATAACCAGGCCTTGTCAGGAGATTGGAGTTCCAAAATGGAAGCAGAATGATTGAGAACACTTGGGATACACAAGCTATGTAGCATAGCTTTATTTGTGTTTGAGTTTTTTGTTTGTTTTTTTGTAACGGATTGTAACCTTAAAAAAATAATAATAGGAGAACTTTGAAGCCGGTATATGGCATTTAGAAATAATACTCAAACAACATGAATGAAAGAGTGGGGCAGAGGAAAGTTCTTAAGAACCAATGTACTGTAAAACACTTTTTAAAAATAACAGTATACGGTGGTACCTCTAGATTCGAACGGGATCCGTTCCGAAGCCCCGTTCGCATCCTGAAGTAAACATAAGACGCGAGCGCACAGGTCGCATTTCGCCGCTTGCGCATGACGTCATTTTGAGCGTCTGCATGAGCGGCGAAACCCATAAGTAATGTGCTCCGTTACTTCCGGGTCGCCGCAGAGCACAATCCGAAAATATTCATCCCGAAGCTACTTCAGCCCGAGGTATGACTGTAATCAGATTTCAGAATAATCAGATATAGTTATGACCACCAGTCTTTTACTATTAACACCTTATATACTCAGCAATTTATTAAGGCCTGACACTCGTTCATCATAGAGACATATGTTTAAGATTTATCTTGACAGTTTGGTCCTGTCTTATTTTGCAACAGATATATATTTAGACTTATTTATTCACTTCTGTTTATCTACAATTACATCTGTTGATGC